TTCAGCGCAGTCCTCTCCAAATGCCCCAGAATCGTTCCTACCTTTGTCACCTCTGGACAAACGAAGCTGCCCAAGTACGCCTGCATAGCGGTAACCCAGTCTGAGACATCCACCTTAAGGTCTTCCCCAGAGTACATAGGAGGTGGCATCAGCTTGGGCTGCCGCTGATCAGATGTGCCAGAGGGGACAGAGGTAGTGGACACAAGGGAACCAGCAGGTGAAGCGTGGGATGGTGAAACCGATGTTGGGATAGGTTGGAGAGGTTGGGGAGGTGGCGCAGGGAATTGCAGATGCTGCAGAAGTTTGTTGACACTCGTTGTCAGGTAATCAAGACTTGCTGTGAATCTGTTGATTCCACTTAGAAAAGTAAGACCTGTTGAGAGTGTCTGTTAACAGCACCAACTCGCAGTATCTTTACTTTACTGACTGGAAGTACCACTGACAATCTCCACCTCTTTACGTAATTGTCTCCTCCTCTCCTCCTTCGTGCTAGCCTCCTCAGCTTCATCTCCCTTTTCAACCGCTGGACATGGGCCTCTGCCTTTCTGCGGTTTTCTTCCGCTTCCAGCGGGGCCTCTTCCTAGGGGGAGAGAGGAAGTGGGGGAGGGTGAGCAAAAGGTTCCCCTTCTTCAACCTTCGTCAGCCATTGTTATTTACACCCACACAATCAAAGAAATAAGACACGCAGAAACAAGGTCAGCAAAAATTAAGATTACAACACACACACAAGGATGTAAATCACTGCCACCTGATGAGAAGAGACGTCGTGCGATTGGCAGAAGAGAGCTCAGCCTCTGCAGGCCGCTGAGGGCTGTTCTGGGTCAGTTTAGGGTAATTCCAGATAAAATCAACTTTTGATTTTTCATTCACAGCCCAGAACCCTCATCTGAGTGCAATAACCCCAGAATCATTGTCAAAGAATCAGACAGGATGCAACCTAGGACTATAAGTAGGAGGGTTAGAATAGCGCAGAGAGTAAGTAGCGCATAACACAACTCAGGAGTCAACCAAGATGCAACGAATTACTAATGGAGCTATTTTTAGACTCCTACTACTGACACTGGCACTGAAGGACCCTGTACGCCTCATTATGGTTGAGGCAAAGTATAGATATCACTGAACCTGACTCAAAACATCAATCCCAGTAGAGCGCTTTCAAACACTTACTCGATACAAAATTGCGATTTCAGGGTGACAAACAGACTAAAATTATGCGGACATAACCTAAGATATGACAAACCCTAGCTGGCCCAAGCACTGACTATGGTAGCGCAATTTTCAGAATTTCATGATCACTGACAAATAGGTCATGAACTATCCAATTCACAGAGTGTACTGAATCGCAATAATGTTACACAGTCAGAGATGGAATTTGAGACAGAAAGGGGTTCAAACATAGTCAGTAAAAGTCAAAGTAGATAGGTAGGAGAAATAGATATGGCAGTCAGGCAGTGCGATTTTCAACTTTCACTGACTACAAACATCCATTTCGATTTCCTCAGTCTAATTACAACTCTTCGACTCGCTACAGAGACTTGAAGAAGGAACACACTTACTTCAGGGCAAAACACTTGGAGAAGAAGTTGAACTGGCTATGGCTGCCATCTCGCCAGTTTCTTCCATTTACTGTTCCTGATGCTCCCACGTTCAAAATCTCCTGAAACTTTGTGATGCTGAAGCTTTTGATATGGTGATTAATCCCCACTAATCAGATTCACTTAACCTGGCTCGTAATTTGAAACTCGACATACCCCCTGGTATCTCGCCACTAGCAGAGTCAATGTCTGGGCTAAAAATAGCCCCTCAGTGCCTCTCAGGCCACTGAGGACTGAATCGCCACCAATCTCTGTGACATACCGGCCTTCACACGCTCTTCACCAGCACCCTAGTGAGCGCAATACTGAAGATGAGATTTCCATACAAAACCCAACGTCAAAAGCTCTCAGGTAGTGATGGCTGCCTCAGTCCCTCATCTCGCCACTGTCTGGGTCCGATCTGTTCCGATACCAACTGTTATGAACATGATTGTCCGTTGAAATTTATCAACGCTCACTCACAAAAACTCCCGTACACACCCATACATGCACAAAAGGAAGGGGAGAGGTAGTGGAGTGTCACAATGCCCAACAGGAAGAACACAGCAGAAGACTCGGCGGAGCGAAGTGACAGAATACACAACCTGTGAATTCTCTCCATACAAGTCCCAACAATCATTCATAAAAGACAACCGAGTGATCACAACCAGAAATCATACTACCATTGCTTATTAAACCCAGAGCATCATTTTCACTAAATAACCTCAGAACCCTGTTGCGCTACCCTCAAAGAGGTAGCGCCTCAACCCCACACACTCTGAATAGTTAAAAATAGCACCAGAACCCCAGGTAACACCCAGTGCCACCCTGACATCCAACTCAGTGGCCTGCGCCAGTATGAAACAGGCTCCCAGAGCCAATCGCCACTCAGATGATGAAGCAGAAGCCCACCACCAACAGTCTTTGATGAAGATGAAGTCCAGACGATGATAATCTCTGAGAAGATGCAGCTATGGCTGCATCTCCACTGGGAACCTACTCCTGAGAAGGGTCAGCAGTGCACCACATGCTCCAACGCATCAGACCGCTGATAGCCCAAACCGCTTTGACTCCCAAAGAGTCAGAGCAGACAGCATTGACCCCAGTCTGGTCAGCACTCCGAAGGTCTGGCTATGCCCATCATCACTCACGCATGAAGCAATAACCACGACCTGATACCGCGTGTGCAGCAACTTCCACCACAAAGTATCAACTGCCAAAAAGCCCTGGACCAATTTCCTCAGCCTATCTATACTCTACCCTAGCCTTGACTCGACCTAGACCGGACTGCCTGACCGACCTGTACCGTTTCTGTTTCGGCCCTTAAGGCCTCTCCCTACCCAGCTATAGGCTATGGGACCGTCTATCAGCGTAGGTCTGCTATTCGTGGTAGGGTAGCTGTAGAAAATTCGAGGTAGTACTGGGTCCATATTCCCTATATTTACAAATATGTCCCTCACGAATTTTCCTTACAAGTAGGTCTCTCAGTTGGCCCTCAGCCAAACAAATTTACGAATCTGTCCCTACCTATGGTACACCCTCGTCAGAGAGAGGCTACAGGCAACCTGGAACCAGCAAGTCATTGCATCTTTATATAGTTTTTTTTGCAGGCAAGTGTGTTGATTGCTATCCTGGTTGATCATTGTCCCATCGTTTGGCCTGTGATGTAGGGGGTGGTGCTTGCATGTGGGACTTGTCATCTAGGATCTGTTATGTTTGTTTTTTGGCACCCTTGTCTGCATCCCAGTTGGTTTTGTCCCGTTGTTCGGTCTATTTTGGTGAGCATAGCGGTGCTTTCATGTGGGACCAGTCATCCGGGTTTTTTTGTTGTTCAGTCTATGAGAGCATGAATGGTTTAGGAGTGGGAATACCCACGTCTTAATGACGAACAAGGCCATCTGCTGTATATAAATATGCATTTGGGATTTCTTTTTTTGCAGGCAAGAGTGTTTTGATATCCTGGTTGGTCTTGACCCGTTGTTTGGCCTATGAAGTTGGGGGCGGTGCTTACATGTGGGGCTTGTCATCCAGGATCTTGTTGCCCCCTGTTTCGTTATATTTGGCTATTCCCTTCCTCTTTGGCCTGTGATGTAGGGGGTGGTGCTTGCATGTGGGACTTGTCATCTAGGATCTGTTATGTTTGTTTTTTGGCACCCTTGTCTGCATCCCAGTTGGTTTTGTCCCGTTCGGTCTATTTTGGTGAGCATAGCGGTGCTTTCATGTGGAACCAGTCATCTGGGTTTTTTTGTTGTTCAGTCTATGAGAGCATGAATGGTTTAGGAGTGGGAATACCCACGTCTTGATGACGAACAAGGCCATCTGCTGTATATAGATATGCATTTGGGATTTCTTTTTTTGCAGGCAAGAGTGTTTTGATATCCTGGTTGGTCTTGTCCCGTTGTTTGGCCTATGAAGTTGGGGGCGGTGCTTACATGTGGGGCTTGTCATCCAGGATCTTGTTGCCCCCTGTTTCGTTATATTTGGCTTTTCCCTTCCTCTTTTCTTTACCTCTTTGCCTTTTGGCTGTGTGCAAGTGGGTCGATATGACGCATGGGGGTAGGGGCAGCTGCCGCTCAACCACATCCACGTGGGCGGCCTTATAAAGAGGTTCTGCGAGTTAAAAGAAAGAAGATAACAAATGAATTGATATCTTTTTTGTTTCCTTCCGGTTTTTTTTGCTTTTGCGCTCTGATAACTTTGTGAAATATATATCGTCTAACAGAGCTGCCCGGTAAACCGTAGGCAGAGAGTGAGAGGAGGATAACATCGAGAACTGCCTGATGAACCTTAGGCAGGTAGGGAAGAGAGAAGACGACAAACGATGGAAGTTGCAACGAAGTTTCACTGACTCATCACGAGGCTGAACCCTTCTCGGCCTCGGAGTCGGCTGACTCGTCAGGAGGCTGAACCCCTCGCGACCTTTTGGCTAATAAGAAGATTGAGTGTAGTGTCCAACCACCAGTACAAACGGTAAACCGTAGGCAGAGAGGGAGAAGAGGATAACATAGAGAACTGCCTGGTGAACCGTAGGCAGGTAGGGAAGAGAGAGGACGACAAAGATCGAAGTTGCAACGAAGTTTCACTGACTCATCAGGAGGCTGAACCCTTCTCGGCCTCGGAGTCGGCTGACTCGTCAGGAGGCTGAACCCTTCGCGACCTTTTGGCTAATAAGAAGATTTGAGTGTAGTGTCCAACCACCAGTACAAACCCTTCTCGGCCTTTTGGGTAATAAGAAGATCAAGTGTAGCATCAAACCACCAGTACTTTTGAAACTTGCCGCTGCATACACGCTGGGATTAACGGGTTTGGGGCGTGTATTAACGGGTTGTGGGGCGATGTTTCCACTTCAATGAATTCATGCCTCTTTGTCACAAACTCACCCCTTATTTCTTAACTGACCTTTTTTACCTTCTTCTTTTCACTAACCTTTTTACCATCTGTACCACCCGAAGATGGAACTGGGCAAGCTGTGCAATGAGCCATGATCAACGATGAGAGATTTGACGGAAATATTTTATTTAAGAAAAACGCCCGAATGGAACATCCAGCTGATTACTGGGTCCCTGATGTTGAAGCCGCGGCCCCCAAATTCCTGCAGAGAGCATGCAATTTCACAAACAAATTTACAAAAAACAAGAGAACACATAATTAAGTAGACGCGAAAAAAAAAAAATACAAATAGGCATGGAAAAAGACTACTCCCAAAAACAATAAGAAAAGAAAAGAAAAGAAAAAAGACATCTCAGTTCCAAAAAAAAAAAACCTCATACACCATAAATAACCACAACCACAACCGTAAAATTCAAGAAAGTGATCCACGTCAGCAGTGGAGCCGTGCCAAGAGCAATTATACCTCTGAGGGCATACTCACACTAGGAAATTTTTACTATTTTCTGGACGTAATTCCGGTCAGATACATCCAAATAGGGCCGTAATTACGGTCAGATACATCCAAGTAGGGCCGTAATTACGGTCAGATACAGTTAAGATTGTGCTTGTGTGAATGTCCTCTGAGACGATACACACACGTGTTGTTAATAATATTATGAAGAACCGGTCCCAGCATGACGCTCCCGCCGGGCCCAGGAAAAAGCGGCCGTGGAGCCCTGCGTGCCGTGCCACGCGGGACCGAGGAGAAGAACGGGCGGCCCCACCCGAAAAAAAAGCGGGGCGCATTCCATGATTTGTCCCAGCCCGGTTCGTTTTGGGGGCACGCGCGGCCCACCCGGTTGTTTTGGCGGTTCACAAATGATCGGCAAGCGCACGCGGGCAGTAGATGGCAGAAGGTGACGGAAGGCTTGCAGAAGGGCGTTGCGACGGCCGAGAGCGAGATAAGGGGCTGACCTCTCTCTCTATCTCTGGGGGAAGTTGCGGTTGGATAAGAAGCCAGGGGAGGTAGGGTGGCAGCCAGAGGGTAGGGAGGTATCGGGATGCTGGGGGTTGAGGAAGGTGGTGGCTGAGAGAGAGAGAGAGAGAGAGAGTTGATTATCGCCAACGATCATCGTCATCATGGTCAACATCATTATTCTCATCACGGTTCTAACGCGTTAAGCACTCCGCCTGGGGAGTACGGTCGCAAGGCTGAAACTCTTACTGAAGTGCCCTCCGAACCGTGCGAAATAGTTGCCCATTACACGGCTCACTAACTCTACTTGCTTAGAGTTCTCTCACCTATTTGGCGGGGCTTCACTGGATCAAGTGACCAGTTTCCCCCGTGGACTTCCAGGCAACCTCAGGACATAAAGTGGGCGAAGCCGAAGGCCTGACTTTAGTGAGTCCACGCAAGCAGAGACATCGGATCTCTATCTTTTCGAGAAGGATAATCAACTCTATGTCGCAGACTGCGCCACTTCACCTCAATCGATAGTATTCATTTCATTCGAGTATTACTATAATCATCATAGTCATCACCATCTCATTCCTAGGCGCGGCCAAGACTGGTGGTTGTTTGCTACATGGCGGGTCTACATCCACATCATCATGATCGCTGGCTAATGGTGGCACACCACGTGGATCACCATCCACATCATCCCCTTCTCTCTCTCTCTCTCTCTCACGCGCGCGCGCGCACACACACACACACGGCTGTCGGAATGGGGGATGGGGGATGGGTGAGAGAGAGAGAGAGAGCACATCTCAATCCGATCCTGCCCCAACCCGCTTCCCAATGAACGCATCTCGATTGTATCCCCTATTAGAGTCATCCCCACCCAATCTGTTTGCATGCCGGCCGACTCGATTCCCGTTGATTCCGCGTCGCTCAACGGGTTGACAAAGAAAGAAAGAAAGAGAGAGAGAGACCCGCTCCCACCTAAGCGCATCTCAATCCCATCCCTTTCCAACCCGATCCCCACCCAATCTGTCTACATCCCAGCCAACACGACTGGACCCGATCCTGGCGCAATCCAATTTCATCCCACCCCACCCCGACCCGATCCCCAAGCGCGCACAGTAGGAGCAGACGGGTGGATGAGCGATCGAGATGCCGTCCCATCTTACGTGATCGGGATGGAGAGAGAGAGAGAGAGAGAGAGAGAGAGAGAGAGAGACCCATTCTAATCCCATCCTGTGATGCAGATGTCTGAAAACCAGCCAACCCTGCGATGGACATGTCTGCACCCGGTCCCGGCTCATGCAACTTCATCACATCCCGCCCCGACCCGATCGCCGCTCGATCCGATCTCAACCCGGTCATATCTCGTTCGAAAAAGGGAGCAGTAGAGGAGAAGTCGGGTCGTCACATGATCGGGAGAGGGATCGTATGAGAGAGAGAGAGAGACCCATCCCAATCCTATCCTGCGATGGAGATGGCGTCGGGTCTTACGGGACCGCCATGCGGATCGTACGCACGCGAGAGAGAGAGACAGAGAGAGAGATGGCGTCCGGTTACGGGACCGTATGCGCGCGCCCGCGCGCGCGCGCGAGAGAGAGAGAAAGAGAGAGACCCATGTGTGTGTGTGCGTGTGAGAGAGAGAGAAGAGGTGGAGATGGAAATGGCGTCGGGACCCGGATCAAAATTGGGATGGTATGCGACAGGATGCTCGGGGAAGGTAGCGACCACACAGAGAGAGAGAGAGAGAGAGAGAGAGAGAGAGAGAGAGAGAGAGAGAGAGAGAGAGAGAGAGAGAGAGAGAGAGAGAGACCCATCCCAATCCCATCCTGCAAGATGACGTCCGGTATTACGGGATCGGCACGAGGATCGTATGAGAGAGAGAGAGAGAGAGCTAACGGGGGGGAAGGGATGGAGACGAAAGCAATTGCAGGCTCGGGATCAGGGTCGGGACGGTATACGAGAGGGTGTTCGACGGTATTTTGATGGCCGCGTATTCTTTTGGGGGTAGAGAGAGAGAGATACACACTTGCAATATTGGACAACACGTGCGAGGCTTTACTTTCACAGAATACACGTCGTCACCACACCGTCGTCAGCACACCGATCACCCACATCGTCACCGCCATGTAGTAAATCAGCCACATCGCCACCATCGCCGTGAAGATCGGCCATGTCATCACCGCCACGTACATCAGCCACGTCACCACGTAGATCGGCCACGTCATCATCGCCACTCAAACGGCCAAGTAGATCAGCCATGTCATCATCGCCATATCCATCATCCCCGTGAAGCTCGGTCACGTCATCATCGCCATGAAGATCAGAGACGTAGATCAGCAACATCAACATAATCCCCATGAAGCTCGGCCACGTAGATCAGCCACGTCATCATCAACATATCCATCAGCCACATCATCATCATCCCCATGAAGCTTGGCCACGTAGATCAGCCACGTCGCCGTGGCCATATTCATCAGCCAGATCATCATCATCCCCAAAGAACTCGGCGACGTCATCATCGCCACTTAGATCAGACACGTAGATCACCCACGTCATCATCGCCTTATCCATCGATCATCATCATCCCCACGTGCCACGTCATCATCGTCAAAGATCAGACATGTAGATCAGCCACGTCATCATCGCCCTATCCATCAGCGAGATCATCACCATCCCCATGATGCTCTGCCACGTCATCATCGCCACTTAGATCGGTGACATAGATCAGCCACGTCATCATCGCCATCTCCATCAGCCACAGCATCATCATCGCCATCAAGCTCGGCCACGTCATCATCGCCATGAAAATCGGCCACGTCAGCAACGCCACGAAGTAGATCAGCCACATCGTCATGTAGATCGGCCACGTCATCATGGCTACTTACATCAGCCACGTCGTCATCGCCGTATCCATCAGCCGCTTCATCATCATCATCGCCATGCGCATTTGCCCCATTATCACCCGGACATCATCATCACCACTTAGATCAGCCACGTCATCATCGCCACACATCTGATCATCGCCATATCCATTAGCCACATCATTGTCCCCACATGAAGCAAGATGCCCACAGAACCCCTTCTTTGTCTTTTTTTTTGTATTGTTTTCTTTATATATAAAAAACGACCAGGTTGTTGTACAGTATACTCGACGACCAGAAAAACAAGCATTCCGAGCAAGACGTCGACGAATTATTGTTTAACATTTCATTTCTTTTCAAAATTCTATTTCATTTTTCAGGTAGAACGCACACGTCCTTTTCAATATGAACTTAACGATCAAAAAATGAAACGATCCGAGCAACACGTCGACGAATCAACGTTTTACTTTTTTTTCAGAGAAACGGAATCCAATCACGGACCAGCCACACAGAGAGATAGATAGAGAGAGAGAGAGAGAGAGAGAGAGAGAGAGAGAGAGGGGTTTCGATCGTAGAGTTTGCCGCGGGGAAGGGAGGTGTGTGATTTCGGTAAATGTTTCTCAAAATCACCTTCAGCTCGTCGCTGAAGTCGTTGACCAGCGGGAAAGATGTGGACGGCATGTCGAGAAAGATACAGCCAGAGACCTGTTTTTCCGTCCGAGTACGGAGTATCGGCAAGAGCATGGAGAAATAAGCGAAGGACGGGAAGACCGAGATAACATCCGGGTAAGGCTCGACGTAGGGGATGACTTATTTTGGCGGGAACAGAGGGACAAGGGCGGGGAGGATCGACTGACTAAGAGGAGTCGATGGGACTTCCGCGCACAAGAGGACGTTGATTCGGTGTGAGGATTGGGTAGCTGCCTGCATGAAGCGGGAGAAGGACAGCATTGACCTCCACAGAGGGCGAAGACAGAGGAGAAGAGAGAGAGAGAGAGAGAGAGAGAGAGAGAGAGAGAGAGAG